TTAACTTCAGCTTAATTAAAATTTGGTTTTGAAATCTTTCTAAAATAAAACTGATAAATAGTAGTTATTTTTTGACCATACAAAAAAGCACTAGGATCTCGATTATCTCGGTCAGAGTTAGATTCTTTTTTAAATAACTCGGCTATGATACAAAATTTCGGTGAAAGGTGGCATTGAACGACACATTTTTGTGCACCTCGAGCAATATTAGTTATAACTTGACCACATTTGTCAAAAAAGATTAAGAAAAAAACTAGCGCTGAAGACTTACAGGCTAGCTCAAAGCTTTGGTTATGATTCAAGTGTTGTAATAGAACCTGAGCGTTTTTTTTTAATTTTTAACTATGAGTTGACAGACATTGAATTACCTTATTTTATCCTAAAAAAGTATTTGTTTTACTTCCAGTATCCTCTTACAACATAGCTTTGGATTGTGGACTTGACTCATCAACCACACGGCCGTTTATATGCGGATGTGGTACACGAAATATTCATGCGTAAAAACGAAAGCATGGTTAAAAAGTAGAATGTTAAATGGATACACGGATGAAAATTAGGGATAAAAAATGAGCTTGGCAAAACAATGATGACTCAAACTTGCAGTGGTAAAAGTTTGAATTAATTTACCATACAATACAAAATGTTACAACAATTTAATATTGACCGGAGAGTTTCCCAAAGAGTAGTACTACTTAACAAGCGGGACCTCAGAATGGTGAAAAAAAAACGTGCTCAAAAAAGGATGAATCTTAATTGAAGAACAACTTACTTTTTTTTGATTATCGTAAACATATGATTTCTAAAAATTTTGACAAAGTTTTGGTAGTCTTTAATATCCATGTTGTCAAGGTTTACGGGCATAAACTATGTATGCTTTTCTTAGGAAACTTCTTAGGACTTCTTCATATCATCAGTGCGACAAGAAATAGATGGCAAAATGCCTTCGCCTTTACTACATGTTGAATATACATTTGTTCCTTATTTAATATCAGTTTGTCTCATGCTGTTTTTGTCTTGCATTGACTTAAACGGCGTTTTAAATATTTCACTGCAAAACATTTCAACAACTGAAAGTATGCCGTTTTCATTTATAGTTTCACGTACGGAATCAAACTTTTGTTTGAAAAATATAGCCCTCATTATTCTTTTTTGCACTTTGTAAATTTCGTCTAACTGACTTTTATATGTACAACAATACACCAATATACCATATTGTATTACACTTATAGCACACGAATTATTTGAAAAAAAAAGAAGGGCTAGCAAGATGGGACCCTCGAAATACTGTTCGTTTAGTTATTGCCCTGTTTTTATTAATAACTGGGCCTAAAAAATTAGATTGATTAATTAAAAAACAATAGCTGATCAAAACACCTCAGAACTACACTTCTTGTTTTATGATTTGAATTGAACTGAAACATTTTCTTAAAATTTAGGCGCAATTGGAAAAGCAATTATTGAAACTTCTGATTTTCTCGTAAAATTTATTAAAGCACCTACTTTTAATTTTAATTTTGCAACAAAAATAAAGTTCACGAAACTAAAAGAAATATATTTTCAAGAAAATTGTTCTGATATTACGAGCGATGAAAACGAAAGAAAATTGTAAAACGAAAGAAAATTTTTTGAAAATATTGTCTTGCTCTAAGTAGGTTTATCTGTATGAAAAGCAAGTCGGTACAAACTTCAGTCTCTCGAAAATTTTGTTTTGCGACTGAAGTAATTAAGGGTTCAAAGCATCAATTTTTCGCTTTAAGTTGATTTGTAAATCTTTTGAAAGTGACTTTTTTCGAGGCTATAATAACTTCTCGTTCCGACCATTGAAAATGGGGAAGATTTTTGTATTCGGGCGTGTTTTAGTTTTTTTCCGCGCAAAATCAGCGACCCTAAGACTATGATCGGAGCATTTTGTGCTACTTGCACAGTAACCAGTTATCCCTGTTTACTTTTGTTACTGGTGTAATGATTACCGGAAGAACTTTAATATTGTTGATTTTTTTCTCTGAAGAATTTTCGTGGTAACTGATTTTTTTTCACAAAAATATTAACCGAAGGTATATTTCGTGATCAAAACTGAATTTTTTCAAAACTGAAAAGAGTGCTCGACCTATGTTTTGAATATGTCGGCCCATTTCTATCGTGACCACTGTTTTAGATGTCTCAGCAAAATTATTCATTTACGGGCTCGATTAAACTTATAACTCCCCTGCAATTGTCATAAATAATAGATAATATATCTTTGTGCTCAACTTTTTCATTGCAACTTGGTCGCGATTATTCAAATTTCAAATATTGTTTTTATCGAAAATGAAAGTTGAAAAGATAACCAAAAAATACTATAATTGCTTTTGCCGAAAGAACCGGTCAAAATTTATAGCTTTTAACAGTTCATAATGTTTAAGTTCTGAATGGTTTAAGTGTTACCTCAAAATGCAGCAAGGATATCCAGTTGCTAAGCAAAAAACGCAACTGAAAATATTTTTTTGCAGTTTTTTGTTTCATATTCATTTTTACTTCATCTAAAATTTCTAATTTGTTTTCAAAAAATGCCATTAAATTAGATTAAATTAGGTAAATTAAGCAAAGATTATAGTTCAGACTAAATTTAAGCTAATCATAAATTAAGATTGGGGAAGTCAGCGTCTCATCAGGAGGTCAGCAGTCTTATTCTTAAAAAAAGAAGAACAGCAATCTGAATCTTATCTAATTTATCCTAAAAAACGAAAGAGTTCAGACCAGCTGTTTTCAGCACAGAGCAAACTTTTTACATTAAAAAAGCAAAATCACGATCAATTGGACGCTAATTTTGTACTTTACTTGAACCCCTACGTGATTTACTTGAGCTAGTCAAAATTAGCTTTAAAAATTCGAATACATAGTGCCTTCCATTCACTTCGTGAAGTGGCCAAAACAACGGGTCGTTAACGTGGGAAACTGAACCTTCCAGGATAATTCTTAGGGCGGAAAAACTTGAACTGATTGTTCCGACTTTTTCAGAAAAAGACAAAACATTTTTTGCTTGGGGTGGCACTAAGGACACACTTCGGAAAATCTTGTTTGCAATTTACGCGCAAAACACAACGAACGCATGATTTACGATCTACCGTCTACGACAATCACAGCCAAATTTGGTCAATCTTTTTATAACAAAGTACTACTCGGTTTTTTCAAAAACGATAAAACCTAGGATAGTAAATACTGAATTAAAGATTGTTTTGGCTACGACAAGACAAGACGATTTATCTACGAATGAGAAACGTCAAACATAGGAGCTGGTCCGCTCGTTTCGAGGAATCAAGGTTGTTTCCCTGATTAGGAACTACTTCGAACTTTTTTGCCACATTCTGAGCTAGGAAATAGTACAAACAGATCATAGGGGGCTCAGACCAAGGGGAGTTTTGAGCCTTCGACACTTTACACAGTCATTTCATTGCTGTATATTCTGGCTATTTATTTATTTTCGCATGTTTCAAATTTTTCGGTTCCCATCCGTAAAAAAAGTAAACACTTCATGCTGAGGTTGTGGTTTTTGACCGTGGTGGTCATAGGCTTATGTGCTAATCAATTACTTCGGTTCGTTGCACGCGTGTTGATTTTTGACTGATCTACTTCACTTCAAAAATAGAAAGACTACTGAAGACTTATGAACTGACTTTTGTTCACAACTTGAAGAATTCTTGAGTCAGGTACCCAAAAAAAGCAAATGAGAAAAAGACGGCTCAACTTTGAAAACAAAACGCTCTTGTCATAAAAAAGAGCCACTGCGTTTTGCAAGTTTAAATTAAATGGTCAATCAAATTTAAAATACAACAAATTTCAAAAACGATTTTCAGTTCTTAAGCATTTATAACGTCTCAGCTTGCTTTAATCTACAGAATTGGCACACAACTATGATTATGAAGTTATAAAAATTCTCTATTATTATAAATTAGAAATATAATAAAAATATTAGAAGTAATTGAACAATTTTTATAGTACATCTTGAGCGCACAGGTACCATGCTTGGTTTTGGCTCAGATTGCCAGCATATTTTCATATAAAAATAAATACTCGATTGAAAACTGCGCTTATAGAAAATGCGCTTTTACAGCATTTAGTTTCTCTTGTTTTGAGTATTTTTAAGTAACAGCAAAACGAAAACGACTTTAAACAGCTTTACCAATTTTGCACGCGAAAGCTGATGAGCGTTCAGCTCGTCACATGACAAACTTTTAGTCGTGGATTTTACCAAAATTATCGATGAGTCATTTATTCTCGACAATGGAGAAAATTCAACTTCGGACGAAGATCGAACTTTGACCTCCATCAGCTTACTAAATTCCAAAAGTACTCCTAATTTAACCAAAATAGTTTCACTAACAACTCCCGAAAAAACACTCCGCTTCGCTGAGCCATTGTACAAAACTTCAAAGAAAACGAGGGCCACTAAAAGTATGGAAAAAATGAACGATTCGATAATTTCTCTCGAAAGCCTTCGAGGTGGTCCAAAAGCTCTTTTCGGACCCAAAAAAGGCAAAAATAAGACGAAAAACAAATCTCAAACATTAAACGACTCACGTTTGAACGAATCAATGGTTGTCGGAACCAATGACTTATCGTTTGACGATAAACAGCCAGGTTTGCTGAAAATTTATGGATCCAAGATTAAGAACAAACATGCTCACATGTACAAAACAGTACTGGCGTCACCATCATCGTCGGCAAAGGAACTCGTTAAAGAGGCATTGGATCGATACAGTTTGCCGAAACGAAGTCACCTTGAATATGTCCTGTGTGACGTCGTCGGGGTTCTCGAGAGCGTAGCGCCGGATGAGGAGCACTTGAGTAACTGGGATTTGATCGGTGAAAGTAAATGGGTTGAAAGAGGATGCCGACCTCTACATGACAATGATCAACCGCTGTCGTTGCAGGAATTATGGAAACCGGAATTCGGCCTTGTTCGGCGACTTGAGTTGAGATTAAAATCAGATGTTTTCAAGACTTACAAAGATACGACAACGAGATTGATGAATCGCAATGTACGCAAGATTCAGAAAGCAAGGGCAAAACTTGGACTCCAAGGGATATCCGAGGAGTTGGAGGACTCACCGGAGAGTCCAGAAGAGAACATCACACCTACATCTTCATTCAGTAGCAAATCTAGGAACTCAAGTCAGCATAACTCCTACAACTCCTCATCAGAACCACAAGAAACTGAGAGCGGTGAAGACGGAGCTTACAAGAGATCCGTCCCTCCTCCTACCGATTGCCCTTTTTTGATCCTTCTTCGCGGTTATTCGTTTCGGGATGATTCGTTAATTTACTACCTCTCCGAGCAGATTACCCAAATAGGGTCAAGTGAGTTCACGACTAGTAACGCTAATATGAACGAAAGAACTGAAGTGGTTTTAGGAGGTCCAGATATTAAACAACAGCACTGTTGGATAGTGAAGAAGACACGATCCGCAGATAAAATTGGAGAAAATGGACGAAAAATGAGTGGAGCTGTTATGAATGAGTTAATGGTAAGTATACACCCATTAGCGGGAGCAATGGTAAGTCTAAATGGAAGCCCACTAACAAAGCCAGTCGATTTGAAAACCGGAGATTTAATCGCTTTGGGTCAACATTACCTCTTTCTATATAAGGACTTGACTACTTTCAAAGATCTTTCCCGAGATCTTTACTGGTTGAAACCGTTCAGCGAGTGTAATGCAAACTATTCGCCCTCATTCAAAAGCAGCAACTTGACAGGAGGCGCAGTCGAAAAGAAAGAGATGGAATGTTCAATGAACGGGATACCTTGCCTTAATTACCAGAAGCAGCACGAGTCTCAGCTAATGTATTATATTTTGAACTTGGGAGGGGGTCCAGATATTGATTCAAATAGTTTCAAACTAGCTCCATGCTACCTCATGTGTTGCATGATTGATTTCTGCAGTGATGTTTATGGAAAAGCAGAATGCAAAAAGCTAGTATACAACACCATTGTTGCCTTCAATGAAAGCTCACGAGTAGCATGTGAACAACTGAACACGTACGAGCATTCGGAGAGAAAACCGGTTAAGCAATGCGTCTTCGATCTTTGTGAGTTGCTAAAGCAGGTCGCGTTCGTGATGGCGAATTCGTTGGAGCTAATGAACTGCCTGGAGGAAAAGAAGAACTTGTTCAGCCCAATTCCGGAATCGGAAATAAAAGAAGCTGCAACTGCCGAAGAGCGAGTAATGCTTTCGTCAACTGACGAGCAATTGTTCCAAATTCTAGATGAAATAGGCATGGAAACGTTCCAAGAATGCGTGTACCAACTAACGAAGTCCTTAAGTTTCATTCTGCCGACGTTGCTTAGTTCGAATCCGTTCAACGCAGGTGGAAATCGGATGCCATCGGCCATACAGTCCATTCTGGATCTTCTACAAGGAACCCTGGATACTTTCTCCAGGATGCTTGTTCATCCTGAGGTCGTGGAACAGCTGTTCGGATGTCTACTATTCTTCACAAATTCGTTTCTCTTCAACCAGTTGATGGAGCGGGGTTCCAGCGGACACTACTTCAACTGGTCTCGAGGAGTCCAGATTCGAGGAAACCTGGACGCACTGGAGAGCTGGTTGTACCAACATTCTCTCCGGAGAGTAGCGGACGAGTTTTTAGGTAAACTAAATGCGGTCGTTGACCTTTTAGCTTGGCTGAAGATCCCGCTCATGCAAACAGACTGGCGCAGACTTAGAACTTTCTTTCCAAACTTATCAGCCAGTCAGTTGAACTACGTACTGACACATTACGCACTTGAGAATCAATCGTTTCCTCAGATTTGGACTCCCGCTGAAGAAGACCGTCTTGCGGTAGACACAGAACCTTTTTATGAAAGCATGGATGGGGCACCCCCTCTTGCATTTCCAGTTGGAGGTTACATAGTTAAACCTAACCTTGAAGTTCCAGACGAAAGTATATACCAAATGATCACCCAGATTTTCAAAGCATACCCACCGCAACCTTTTCAAAATGTAAGCCGACCGAACTCCAGTCTCAGGACACCGAAGAACTCTTGGCGGCAGCAAAGAAGTCGCAATACCCCATCGGTTACGCGAATGTTTTCTGGGAATGTTCCAAACAACCCAAATCCAAGCTTGTCCAGACATAATTCAAAGTTATCACATGCGGAAGAATACAATTACATAATGGAAAACGGAACAAGCACTGGCCAAGCTCATCCCAATCGGAACTACTCTTTGCCAACGGATAACAAAACTGCGGTTAAGTCTAAGCCTCAATTCGAATCACCAGGAGTTTCCTCCTCCGAGACCCTTCTGAAATCTTCTGGCACTCTGAAATCAGGAGATGCTAATCTCCAGCAAGCAAAAGCAGTGAACTTGCCTGTTATGGGAATTAACGGAAAATTCAAAACAACTCAATATTCGCAAGCCGTAATGACCCAAGACGCAGCACCCGTAAATTCAAGCTCAAGTGGCACTTTTTCCAGTAGTTCTCAAAACAGCACCGTTAAAAACAATCTTATCGGAATTAGTGGGACCCGAAAAAGTTCTTTGGATGGTAAAAAGAGACCCATTCCCAAAAAGGCACCATTTTCAGTTTCACAACGCGCGATTGAAAACTCTTCGAAAACCAGCAGCAGCTACCACAGCGCATATTCCAGAACTCCTAATAAGGAATACTCATCATACAGTTCACTGAGTGGACATCAAACGCCCTACAGAGCGAAGACAACATCGTCGAAAGAACATGCTGACGACTCTGTTTCAGTTCAGAATGGAAACTCGCCGAGAACCTCGAATTTTCAGGTCGAATCATCATTGGCGGCTAATCGCCCTTATGAAACAACAACTGCCTCCGCTTTCCTCAGGCCCTCTTCGTCTTCGGCTTTTGTAGAAATTAATTCGACTCATCAATCATTGCCAGTCGAAGAACCGAAGACATTTCAGCCCAGATTGAAAGACCCTGCCTTGTCTCTCGATTTTGCTAACAAAACATTTCATGCTATCGATGATGCAACCGAGACGCAGTCGGTCGGAGGCTGCACGACTATGAGCGAGGATCGAGAGATCGCTTGGTTCATGGAACACCCAGTTAACTACTCGATTCAAACTGAATGTACCGACGAAATCGATGCCGACGTCGCCACAATCCAAGATGATGTCACTACTATTCCTGACGATGTCTCGGAAGTTCCGAGCGCCGCCATTTTTGACGACGACGACCAAGACTACTTAGTTATGGTAGAGTTGTCCAAAATTAACAATAGTTTGGGCATTGGTCTAACTGATGGATTAAACACGCCATTGAAATGCAAAGGTGTCTATATAAGGAAAATAACTGAGCATGGAGCTGCTCACAAAAATGGAAGATTGCAGGCGGGTGACCGAATCATGGCCGTGGATAATGTTACGATTTCTGAAATGGATTACGTCGATGCAATGCGAATCTTCAACCAAACAGGCCAGAAAGTAAAACTGGTGGTTTCGAAGGTATCCACTGGTTTTGCGGCTAACTCGGCCGCCAGTTTGTGCTAAGTTAGACAACCTCGAATAAATGGACTCATCGAATAAATAGCGTTACTCTCGTGTTTATAAATATTTAAACAAATCTTCAATTTGCTGAAGCAAAATTTAGAGTTATGTACCAAAAATTTTTACACGATACCACAAGTAGCGCTAAGCAGTAGCGGATTTAGGGTGTGGGGGATCTGAAATTTCCTCAAGGATACGAGCTCCTGACTACCCAAAGGGTTCTCCCTTTGGTACTATCTTAAGACCTCCGTTTTTGGCTGGCTGACCCTTAAAAGTTTCTAAAGGCTTGGGGCCAATGTATGCTAACTTTGAGGGTGGAGTGGAGCGCGCTCCAAAAAGAAAACGCGATTTTTTGGTCAAAACAGTCCAAAAAGTGCTTGAAAACGTTTTGTTTGACCCGTTTTTTTCAACAATCTGCCTGCCACGCAAAAATTTTTGCCAAAGCAGGGTATTTTTAGTGCTTTTGGAGAGCTCGGATTTCCATCTTGCGCTCATCTTTTTCCTTTGTAATCCTGTGATTGCGATCAATGTTTTTCCAAACCTCGAACGTCAATTGCCGAGCTTCTCATCACTGATAGTTCTGTTTGCTACCAATTTCAGTGATGAACTGAGATGCTCGTTATGTATTTGCAGATTGGAAAGGAGCCTCTTTAAGCAATTCAGTTATACCATTAAAAGTCTCACAATTGTTTTAAGGTACGGGGTGTCTCTAGTTCCAAAACAGCATGCGAGTCTTTGAATGCATGGGCTTGTAGCCGGTTTTCTTGATGTAATAACCCACCACCTGATACTGTTCACTAACAACTGGATAACTCGATGGCAAAGGTTCCGTGTTCTAAATGTCTGAAGATTTGGTTTACCAGTGGTTTTAACTGGAAACATTCCACTTCGTAATAGCGAGCATATATTGTCTAAAAAAATACACCCGGTATTTTTAGAGTGCGTTGTCAATTGCTTTCTGGAACTCTTTTAGCATATCCTTTTTGAATCTGTAAGTCACGTTATGTTTCCCAGAGGAAGAGTTTAAACTGCAATAAATATTTACATGCTTGCTAAGGCGAAGTTTGCTGAGCGCTTATTTCAGGTACAACAAGATGAACCAGGCTTCATTTTCCATCTTCGATGTGATGGAATCGACTGCTTTCTCTATCATCTCTAACAGGTTTTGCATTCGGGGTTTGCTATTGACAATTTGTTCACTTTGAATAAATGATTGGTCCCCGGTTGTAATTTACGCACATGATTCTAATAATACCCTCAACTAAGGACAGAACTTGAGCTGAGGGGACGTTTTTCCTGTGATATCGGCCGTTAAAGGACACCAGACTCCACGTGTCTTCAGTCGTTTGAAAAATTTGCTCTCTACCCGAAAAGTGATCTGAACATCTTTGTTCCGACCATTGAAAATGGGAGTAACTTTGTAACCTTTAAAAAAGCTTCTCAGTGTCGAGAAAAATCCGTTTGAAATTTTTGGTTTTGGTTTATTTTTGTGCAAACAGGGTGAGCGAGCAGGCCTAAAAATAACTTATCTGTGCTTAATTTAAGCCGTGAAAACTTAGTTTTACTCGAGTAAAGATAGTTTTTGGAGAGTTTGTTTGTGCGCTTTTGGGAATCAAAAGTTTCAAAAACATTTTTCAAAATTCAAAAAATTTCTGCTGAAAAATTTGAAATTTGAAAAAACTTTGCTCAATAAGCGGCTATCCTTGCTCACTTTTCTCATTGGCTGCGATCGATGCCCTCAAAGTTTTCGCCGATACAATTCTCGGACACCTTGATACTTTTGACATTGGCCACGTACTCGGGGTTTGATTCCCTCTGCTGTCAACACTGAAAACTTTGAATAGCTATCTGACGTAATGAACTTTGCGCTATTTTCTTCCACCAGGGCCATACTGGTCCTATCCAGAAATTTTTTGACTTGTACAGAAAAAACATGCTTTTGTTTGATCTTTAGCGACAATTGCTGTGCTCTAGAACCGGTATGAATGTATCCTGGCCTCAATTTTATTGGGTATTTTTATAACTCATTTCGGCGCTACAAATGTTTCACACACTACCTCCTTTTCCGCCACCGGAGTCCATTCACACAGGGCCGCATTGCGAGAAACACACTAAAAAGAACAGCTCCAGGCTTTTGTTGGTCTAAATATGTTTTGTTGAATTTTGGCATATGCAGAATGTTCCTCTTGCAGGATATTTCGCTGAACTTGGAGAAAATTTTGTACGCAGCTCCTTCTGCTCAAGTCAACTTGAAGACCACTCTGACGGAAACGCTTCCTGATCTGATGTCGTTGCCAAAAGCAAACAATTACCTTCACACCTTGGTTTGCTGAACCGGAACTGCTCGCTATGCCAACTGTTTCTTCAAGAAACTCTTGGTTTCAAAAAGGGTTTACAAGAACAATTTTAAATGTTTCATACTAATGGCTCAAATCATTTAATGTATCATTTTTATCTAAAGTTCAAACGGCTGCTCTGAAGAGCAAAGTGGTGCAGCTGAGAATAAATAAACAACAGTGACTCTTTTTCGAACTTTTTGTCAAGGATTTTTGGCCTAGGATTTACTCTTAATTTTCCAGGTTGACACTAGAGGCCTTTCAATTTTTTTTGTGTTTTGCTGGAGTTAGTCCAAAACTTAGACAAAACTTTTATTGCTTTTAATTATAGTATGCTGGCCTTTTGGACGAAAAACTTCTCAAAATAGAAAGCGCATAGTATGTAAATCTTACGAAGGTTACCAAAAAAAAATTCTTTGGCCAGAACGAGTTATTTCTGATTGGCCTGAAAATGCAGATTTACTGGGCGATAAAACTGTGCGTTTCGCTGTGTGAATTAAGAGTATATTTGTGAAACTTAAATAAACAGAAAAGAGCTAGCGGTTAATTTCGGGCGAGTTATAAAAACGTTCTCTTTATAAAAACTGCCTGTTGTCTATTGCAAAAATTGAGATTTGCTGTAAATTACAATTGAGCGTGCTTTCATTGGGAATCTATGGGGGAGCCTAACACGTTTGTATTTTGATCTGCTATTGAGCTGTTTTTGGCCAACAAAATTGAATTTCAGAGCTCTCCCAAATTACTAAAAGACCTTTTAGCGAAGGTTGAAAAAGGTACTTATTTAAAAGTTTCACCAAAAAGTTGAACTTTTTGATACGTTTTCACTACTAAATACAAAAAAAGTTTACTAAATAGCAAAAAAAATTCTACTAAAAACAAAAAATTTTAGATTTTATAAAAGAAACTTTCATAAAATCTTTATGGTCGGTCAACCAAAAACAGATACCAGAGTCGCCTCTTCAAATTCTCTACATATCTGCCACTGTAGACTCCCTGTGTCTAGAAAAATTTTATGGTCGGTCAGCTAAAAACGAAATGCCAGAATGGGCTTCTCATATTGCTCATATATCCGCTACTGTAGAACCGCTTTGTCTAGAAAAATTTTAGGGTCAGTCAGCAAAAAGTGGATACCAAATTGCCTACCCGGTTTGATCAAAGGTCTACCCGCTTCCAAGTTTAGGCGCAAGTAATCGATTATAACGGATTATTATGATGATTTTTTGACAATTATAATTGATTATAATTACCAAAATTAGGTGTTTAAAGGATTTAAAATTGATTATAATCGTGATATTTTCCAAGAGATTATAATCTCTTATAATCGATTATAATTGATTATAGTTCCTACAAAAAACCCTTAAAATCAATTATAATCGATTATAATTTCTAATTTTGCCAAAATTTCTCAATTTAAATTTATATTCGAATTATCTCTTATGGGTTATTATTTTTGGTTCATCTGAACACAAAGTTTTACCACGAAACAAAAGTTTCATAGAGATCCTTTCATATTAATGGAAAGATTCCCGCGGTAGATGAAAAATAAATCTTCCGAATCAATCATGAAACTAAATCAGTTTGCTGATGTTTTGGTGGTTAAAACAGCTTAAAATATTTATCACAAACAACTCTGATGGGGAAGAAAAGAAAAAAAAACTTTATAAATTTGAATTGATTGGAAAACTTTAAAAACATTTTTCTCATTTTTCATAGGAACCAACGTTTACAAAAAGCATAAAATATTAGCAATTTAGATGCAACTTCGAAGACAAAATGGACAAACAAAAGGAATTATAATCAATTATAATCGATTATAATGGATTTTTGTGCAAAACTAATTGATTACAAATTTGAATAAAAATAATGGATTATAATCAATTATAATCGATTATAATTGTCTAGAAAAATAGACGAATGAATAATCGATTATAATCGATTATAATATATTATAACTAATTATAACTTGATCTTAAAAAGAGAGATTATAATCGATTATTGATTGATTAAAATCGATTGTTCCTTAATTTTAGTAAGACTGGTACTAAAATCGTAATATAATCAATTATTAACGCTTGAAACTGGATGCGGGTAAGAAATTTTTTTTTAAGAATCTTGCAATTTCTCTCCAAAAATAGGCTCTAAAAGTTATATCTGAAAGAGAATTTTTATTATAAAGAAATGTAAGATAGTGAGTTTTCAAGTTTTTTTGCATGCTTTTTTAAATTTTCGTATAACCAGTAAAAAAGATTCCCGCTGTCGTAGAGTACAATAACGGAAACTTGTAGACCAAATTACCCATTTCGTTACATCATTTTACTGAAAACTCCAATATTTTAATAGAGTTAGTTTTAGCTATAATTAGAAACACCATCAAAAAAAAACTTGTAGTGCATAAGTTGACTGATTTTTATTTGTTATTACGGTTTAAAAACACAGTTTAAACATTTTTGGCGATTTCTTGGAATTTTTGGAAACAGCTGTTATCCAAAAACTTTTCACGTAATAAGCAAGATAGCTGAGATTTCCTACAAATATTTTATATAATATGGGTCGGTCAGTCTAAAACGGATACCGCAGTGGGCTGCTCTCCGAACTGTCCACATACGCGCTACTTCAGACTCCCGATGTGTAAAAAAATAGGAACGTTCAGTTAAAAATGGATACTATTGAGAGCTCTACAAATTGTTCACATATCAGCCAAAAACTGTACACTCCCCGTGTCTGGCCTCCATCTTATTGAGAATTTTTATACCTCATCTCTGCGCTAC